TCCCGTACAGGCCTGATTTTTTTCAGGTCTGATTTTCGCTATTGCTTAAATAGCGCTATCTACTGCGAGGATCGTGTATCATATGTATCTAATACCGCAGTACAAAATATATGAACTTCATATATTTCATTGTATCTGTTAAATATATATAACTAACTGCAGACAGTACTGTTTCGGCCTTCTGGGCCTCATCAGTGCAGTGCTGATGCTATGATGGAGGAGAACCGAGACGGTCACACCAAACGACCCAACCTTTGTGGTATCGTCTGTTGCTGATTACAATAGATTGTTGTTAGATAATACGCAGAATAGGTGAGAAAAAGTGAAAATTACAGTTAATGTGGATATATGAAGGATAATGAGACAATGGGTGTGAGTGTATTAGCAAAAGTCCATTGTTGCAGGAGAGCGTTAACTGTTCTTTAGATAAAACTTGTTTTCGTGGCAGCACTTGGATATAAGTTAATTTCTTTTATTCAATAAATTGCTGCTGTTAGACTTGAAAACCATGAGTTTTTCAGTAGGGCAAAGATCGCATCTTTTCGTTGTGTTATTGCAGGGCCTAGCTCTTGCAATAATGAACCATTTTATGCTAAAGTTTACGGAGTTGTCTTTCAGTTTCCAGTTAACGTTGTATCTAGATAGTTCAATGCTATTGGTGTGTTTTCTACGTCGGAATGAGACCTTGTGTTGGTTAAATCTTTTTTTTAAATCTTGGTGTGTACGCTGTGCCATTCGACATTACGCTGAGCCATTTCACGGAACGGTACACTGTTTGTATGTACGCTGTATGTACGCTGTAGCATTTGACATTACGATGAGCATTTTCACGCAACGCTACACCATTTGTGTGTACGCTGTACCATTGGACATTACGCTGAGCCTTTTCAGACAACGCTAAACTGTTTTGATGTACGCCGTACCATTCTACATTACGCTGAGCCATTTCACGCAACGGTAACCCGTTTGTGCGTATGCTGTGCTACTCGAAATTACCCTGAGCCATTTCACGCAACGCTATGCCGTTTGTGTGCTGTATTGCAAATGAGTGCTGGGCTATTCGCAATTGAGCTAGTCCATTGCACAATTTCATGTTCCAACTCGAATGGGCAACTAGAGCGTTTATGATTTGGCTAAACTATTCATGTTTAGGGTGTTCTGTTTCATGAAGGAAAACTAAACTGTCTATAATTTGGCCATACCATTCCTTTATTAGCTATGCTATCCTGCAGCTGATCCTTAAACCATCTTTGTATTTGCCGATCTATTTGACATCCTTGTATTTTTGGAGGTTACGGCCGCCCATATTCATGGGTGGAAATGAAGTTAGGGTTGCGAAACGAGATGAAACCGTTGATTATTTTGTTTTCCCTTTCTCTGGGTTCTTTCTGAGGAGTTAAAAAAGCCATTCCCAAAGAAAAAGTAGGCAGATATTCATCGGCTTGTTCGCTTGCTGCCATGTCTACATTAACTTTTTTTGCGGAAGTTTTTCCAGTTTTCTAATGAAGAGTCACTCGCGAGAAAAAATTTTTTCGCGAGGCACTTGTTTGCTGACGTCACCAGCGTGTACAATGGAAAATTGAAGCACGCTGCGCAATTGAAGTTTATTGCACGAATTTACAAGCTATGTCATAATTGTACTCGTGCGTGTTGTGAAATCCATGGCTATAAAAGAAGCCCGAGTGAACGCTCCTCGAGCGTCTAGTTAATTTATATCTTTAACTTTGATACTTTGCCGATTTCGGGTCCTTGTAGGTCAAACACATGCACAGGCAGCAAGATTGTCACAGTTATCACTGGTGGTCAGTCAGTATCTGTTTACTGTCATATGGGGAATTTTAGATGTGGGGATGGGGTTTGAACGACTGTCATGAAAATTGATGGTAACAAGGTAAGATGGATAAATATATCGTATGATTGACTCACTACCTCGTGCTAATAAATGAGATTATTCACGAGCACGCCTTGGATATGAGATGATAGATGGCCAACGAGGCCTGTAGAACAGAGATGGCAATTATCATCTCATATCCTACGAGCGCGAGTGGAATAACTGTTTTATCAAAAACGCCCCTCCCCCCCTCCCTCCCCGAAAACAGATAAATGTTCCCAACTTTGTTTGGCTAGAATAAACAGAATACTTCAAAGTACGAAAACACTTCCGGTTTAACTCCTCTTTATGTGCGCGCATGGTATAATGACATGATAGCTCACCCAATGAAAACTTTTGAATTGTATTGAGAAATGATTCAGTTTGTAATGATGAGCATTATTCACTCCCTAGAGAGAAAAACCAGCAAGGGTATACGCCATCCCCACGACAAAGATGTTTCATCATTGGGTTTTACCACAGAGCAAAAAGGCCTCTAGTTTAAATCTCACCTCTTTCTTCCCTCCAAATGCGTTGAGTTTATATTTACACCTCACGATAACATTGGATACTAACTCTAAGTTTGTAATCAAACTAACACAGAAAACATTCCATTACAATTCTGGGCATTGGTTAAATCAAAATCATTACAACCTTGCTGGAGGAGAGACTTGATTTGACAAGAAACCAAATTGCCCACCTACTGGGACACACCCTTCAACAAGATCTGTTTTGGGATGAATTTAGGTGGACTAAGTCGATTCTTTTGCTATCGAAAGGAAGGCATCTTCCCTGTACGCGCTGATCGCTGATGAACAATATCGCGTGACTTCACTGGGTCGTGGGAAATGGAAATCGCTTCTCGGCTCGGAAGCATCTTTACAACCAAACTGCAACAAGGAGGGATTCAATGCGGGTTGTTGTTATGCTCAAGGTTGCGTGAGAGTAAGGATCGGCATCGCTTCCAATGAAAAAGATGACTGTGATTCTGGACAGTTTCTTTTATGCTTAGAGCACTTAAATTGATGTGATGTCCCTTGTAAGACATAGTAATTTCAGAGGGATACTGCCAAGTGAGTTCGCTACGGTTTCAAGGCTTAGACTGCTACTGCACGATAAACACATGATAAGAGCAGTGTCTACCTATATTTACATTCCAAGGATATTATAAAGATTAATCAAACATTTCCTAAGACATCATTTGTTTCATAAATGTCAAGGCTTCCCAAAGCCTAGCTTCAGGAGAACAACGCGCTTTGACAAAATGTCCTTCGATGTTAAAAGCAGAAGTGGTCGTTTTTGTAAAAATTACGTTTTCTTTATTTTGTTTTTTTGTCACTTTTTCCATTGTGAAAAACTGCGCTGCCATGTTGGGAATAAAAGCATTGAGAACGCTTACTTGACGATATTTTAACTCCTGTAACTACGAAATGCCTAAATATACCCCCAGGGGCTACTGGTACCGGCTTTCAAGGTCATAGTAATTTTCAACCCAATTTAACCTAGGAGGCTGGGGAAACATCGCCATTTAAAAGGAAGAATATAAAACCACGTTCAGTGATGGAAATTGTTTTAATCTTATGCTGTAACTACGGTGAAAAATAACCTCAAGACCCTCAATGAAATAGATAAACTAACAAACAAACAAACAAATAGACAATAATAACGCGAATGAGCACGCCAGGTAAATGGTGGCCATCTTATCACCCATATATATTATGTCATGCAATAAGATAGGGTAGATAAGGCAGTGCGCTGATCGCGGCAATCGGCTGGACTTATCACCGCCAAACTGCTGAAAATAAATGCCACCATCCATAAAAGGTTTGTTCGAAAAAGTAATCTCTAGTCAAGCCTTTTCCCAGAGCTACAAACCTGGTCTATCTTTTAAACAAAGTATAATATTAGAAGTCATTCACCAAATCAAATACATTGTTTTTATTTTAAAACCGAAACTGAATCTTTTGTTTACTTTTCTCAAATGAATCAGACAAAGCAAATCCGGTAGGTAGTTTCGATATTGTATTAGACAAATACCATTTCCCGAAATAGCTATGGCGCCTGTCCCAAACAGTGTCGCACACATAAAAAGTACGATGAAAGTGAATAAATCGAAACTGAGCAAAACAAAAAAAATACAAAACAAAATAAAACAAACAGAAAAAAAAAATTAAATAAATAAGCTACATTTATGCTAGAACCATCGAAGAGGAGTAACTTAGTTATCTAATTGCCAGAGCTTATCCAGATATGTACCTACTGTTTTGACAAAATGGTAAGCGAAACATTTGTTTGACTTAATTATTCATGCAATTTCATTAGTTATGATTCTACGTAACCCCACATGAAATTAAAAAAAAAGACTGTCATAAAACTATTCTTTTAATCATATCTATTTAAGTTTCTACATCGAATGATGAAAATTGACTAGTCGGAAAATGAAAAGATTTATTTTTTTCTTGATAATACCTTAAACACTCCGACTTTAAAACACCATAACAACTATTCATTTAGACCATAAACATATAACCTCAACCAAGCAGGTGTTTCTTTTTTTTAATTAACAGATATATTTAGGCAGAGAACATTGTCAAATATTGGGTGAAGCGGCCCAGCGTTTTCATGAGAAAGTAATCGTTTAACCTTAAAGGACACAGAATGCAAGCGCTTGCTTTCAGTCTTGCATGTTTCTGTACGTTTTCTATAAAATCGCATCAGAGCCACCTTCAAATTTACGGCAGTCGTGGTCTAAAGCGGGGAATCGAAGTAAACAGCCCTCAAAGTAGAGTGTCGTACGGTAACTTTGTAGTCGACAAATTCCATCGTCTTCAGATAGCATCTAACTCACTCGAAATTGTAGGGAGCTACAACGAGTGTGCTATGATCTGCGTTAACGACCCAAGTTGTTCATCATTTAACGTTGCCTCCTCTCCGCGTTTGGATGGAAAGTTCCTTTGTGAGTCGCTAAATAAAGACAAGTATAGTGCAAGTCCTGGAAAGCTAGTGAACTCACAAGAATATCACCACTACAGCATAAAGGTATTTCGGAGAAACTTGAAATAATGCTATTTACGTCACTTGCAGTGTTAAACGTATACGCATTACATAATTTCCTATAACCCTGATCTACTAACTTTAAAAGAGTTTAACAACATCATAAAATAACTTTTTTGTCAGTGAATCTTTTGAACGAATTACCATCCAAATGATGCTGTTCGAAGAAATCATTTTGATAAAAATAAAAAATCTAAAAATTATTTCCGACACTAAATTGTGTTCAGCTTTGGGGGAGTCTAGTCCCCTTCATGACGTCTCTAGGAGTGGAGCAAACAGTTCGCAGATCTCTGAATGGTGTTATGCTTCAGTAGTTATCTTTTACGGTCAATCGATTTGCTATTTAAGATTCTTTCCTTCTCTTGATAAAAAAATAAAATAGAAATAGAAATGATGACTTTCCAACAATAATTATTCGGAGGAACCTTTTTCATGCCCCCTCCTGCGCCATTTTAGTACAAAGGTTGCTAAAACACGAACTGATGCTAATAAACAGCGTGGATTCAAACTGAAGGAAAGGAACTCTACCAAAGAAAAAAAAATTAACTCTAACGAGTATCGAGATTTTATGGTAATCAATGTCAGCGCCATTTCTTTACGGCTAACAGAATTTATTTTGATTTGTACTAAATACATTATGGCCTTTTTGATGTGTGTGGATTTTGCTTTCCGTTTCGTTTTGCTGTATTTGCAATTTGGAAATCCCATCACTAATTTCCAAAGAGGACACAAATAAGCTGAAAGATTTTTATTCTAATCGAGCAAATGTTTGTTATTAAATACCCTTGTTCGCCGTTTGGAATGAGATAGGGTGGACTAGTAACCAGTGAGCTAACTCGTCTGGGCCATAACAATTACTCCTGCATTGCCTTTCTCAGTCGTGTACAGGTATAATGGATATTAGCAAACTTTCGCAAAACTAATCCGACGAGATTCTGAGGGAGGGGCTGTATTTAAGCTTACTACTGATCAACTCATGCTACAAAAATTATTTGTCTCGGAAGTAATTGATGGAGAATAAGGTCTAATTAGCATCTGCGTTTTAACAATAAATCAATTCCTGAAAAAATGCTTTCTTTCAGACACCATGCTCGAGCTTTCCATGTCAAAACAATGCAACTTGTGTTCCGGATTACGGTACCGACCAATACCACTGTAGCTGTGTGCCCGGCTACGAAGGAAACTTCTGCGAAATCGGTATGGAGTATGTCAGCTGCATGCACTTTTTGAGAATCGAGGTGCACTGCTATCCTGCCATGGATCCATTCAATGTTGACCACACGGGAGGAAAGCACCTTATTGATTTTTGGGGCTTCCACCGTGGAAGACTAAATAGTTTCTAAATAATGTAATTACATGCAATTTATCTAATATCTCATTCTGAAAAGCTTCCGTCCTTGCTTGTGCATAAATTTCCAGCTTAGTCCTCAGTTTTTTCTTCTTATTTTGTTCTTGGATTATCAATTTTTCCCTTTTTAGATATCAATGAATGTGCCAGCAATCCCTGTTTGAACGAAGCAACCTGTGTCGACCAGGTCAATGGTTATGTGTGTAACTGTAAGGATGGATACTTAGGAGTTCACTGTCAGATGGGTAAGGAAACAGTACAGCTTATGCATATTACCCAATCAAGCTGATAAGGATGACGAATGGATACCTTGTATGGATATCTTGTATTATTTATCTAATATCTCATTCTGAATAGCTTCCGAGTCCTTATGCATATCAATATCACGATATGATAATTTGCTTGTATATCATCGCAGCATCATGTGTTTGCTATGTGTTTTCATTCCAGAATTTTTGTTCAGGGGGAGGGGCAAGGCGCTGCTAAGGATGGGTAAGGGAGGATTTTCTGGAAATGAAGCGAACTTAAGGCATTCAGAGCGTTTAGTGTCATTAAGTCATATTCTTTTCGATATCAATGAATATGCGAGTAATCCTTGCACAAACGGAGAGACGTGCTTTGACCAGATTAATCGTTTCGTCTGTGACTGTATTATCGGGTTCACTGGAACACGCTGTGAAACAAGTAGGTTTGAAGTTGCCGTTAGATTCCCTTATCTCCTTCATCTATTCATCCTTATTTTGTTCTTGGAATATCAATTTTCCTTTTTTTTAGATATCAATGAATGTGCCAGTAATCCCTGTTTGAACGAAGCAACCTGCGTTGACCAGGTCAATGGTTATGTGTGTAACTGCAAGGATGGATACTTGGGAGATCACTGTCAGACGGGTAAGAAAACAGTACAGCTTATGCATATTACCTAATCAAGATGATAAGGTTGACGAATGGATAGCTTGTATTATAGAATAGATGTATATACGTCACAGACAAGGAAAAAAAGGCAAGCAGCTAAAACCAATTCAAACCTGGAAAAAAAATTAACTTCAAAGCAAAACACAGTAGAAAAGTTCAATAGCTCACAAACGAATACATATATCTTATTAGCGATACGACACACCAGCACGTCTAATAAGTTATTTATTATCCACACACGCCGAATTGCTATTTCAGTGGGGGCAGATTTCGCGGATATTTATTTTAGGGGAGTGCGTGACAGAAGTATGCGAAGCGGAACGGAAAGGAATTGCCGCGTTGTCGTGTTGCTGTTTCTATTTTCTTCAATAAATGATGAAATTTCATTGTCATCTAACTGCTTTTCTCCGTTCGAGTTATCTAATAAACTTGGAGCAATATTTTCTAGCCATTCCGACCCTTCATCATCAAAAATATAGCTTAAATTGTCTATCTTTTTTTTTTGTAACCTTAATCCAATTCGTCGCTTGCGTGATGCGAGAAAACCTGTCTAACCGGTTCTCTGGAGTACAAATACCGCGTGATATTTGTACTCGTCTTGGGTTTTATGTGTACTTTACGGAGTGTAGTTGGATAATAATTAACCTTCTTCTATTCTAAGTTTTTGAAGTATTCGAAAAATCGATCCAGTGCCAGGTAATAAAAGTCTTGATTCCTATAAAAGAGAAAACCATAATCTCAGTTATTTGGTAACCAAATAGATTGCGTCATGATGAGCTCATATCGCTGCGATTGAACATAAGTAAAACCATTCCTATCCGGCAAACTAATAGATCTAATTTTGTAATACTCTACGCTTCTCAGCCCTGACGTCGTGTAACCAAGTCTTTAACGCAATCAGGTAGGTTACCTAAAGTTTCGTTATGCACAATTATTTAATCGTGCTGAGTATCGACTACAAAATCAATTAAACAAATTGAAAGAAAGATAGCTTTTGTAAGTGATGGATAGAGTTTTTCTAAGAGTAGTTCAAAAACTATCTTTTGGACACTCCATTCATTGGCCGATTAACGTATTATGCGATTTTTGATCGTGCAGCTCTTCAAGTCAGCTTAAAACACTTATCATTGGCGGACAGCAAACTGCCGTATACTGCCACATGGGACAATTTGGATGTGGGAATGGCGGTTGGACGACTGTCATGAAGATTGATGGCAACAAGGTACGACAAACAAAGGCACCTGGAGAATCATTGTCACTAGATATGTTATGAATGTGCTCTGAATCAAGTGGGTTTAGTTTTAAATACCATATCAATAAAGTTCATGTTTTTAATTGCTGTCAGAATACTTTCAACAACGACGCTGGCTACTGGACAAATACAAATTCTTACAACCTTGCTGGAGGACAAACGGGATTCGATTCACAAGAAACCAAGCTACCGACCTACTGGAATACACCCTTCACCAAGATCTGTCTCGGTATGAAGATAGGCTCTCAGGAAAGATTTACTCCGATCAACAAACAGGCCGGTTCGCTTCACTCGCTCATCGCTAATGGACAATACCACGCGACATCACTCGGACGTTCCACCTGGAAATGGTTGATTGGCTCGCAAGCTTCTATGCAACACAGTTGCAACAGAGAAGGTTTCAATGTCGTTGCTGGCATAGATAATGGCCAAAAAATGAGAATCGGTATCTTTGCTAACCAGGAGACTGACTGCTTAACGCCAGACTCTAAGATAGGCTTCGGTATAGGTGGAAGTTCGAGCACCAACACATGTGGAAACATAGCCAGTGATGACTTTGGCCCCGATAATGGTGGCAAAAACATTAGGGCCATAGGATATATCTTGGTGCAGTAAAAAAGATATATCTCTCCTCGAAGACCCAGTAGGTTTAAGGTTTAAGGAAATTTGGCCATATCTCTCAGGGGCGGAGATCTCTTAGATGGTTAGATGTTACAGAGAAGGTTTTATTTAATGATTTAGTTTTAGCATATAAAGGTGTAAGTGGTTTTATTTTCGCGGCCCACGGGAATGGAATGGTCTACCTGACAACATTAGGAATACTAAAGATATTGATATTTTTAAGCGGAACCTTTTTAATAATATGTTCTATATGTAGTAAATTTGGATATACTTTGAATGATTTTAAATACATTCGATTTTAATTAAATTACAGTAAATAAGTTAGTTAACATTGTGACCGAGAAGCCCTGTTGAAGCGAGTCTCAATAAAGTATGTATGTATGTATGTATGTATGTATGTATGTATGTATGTATGTAGCTATATTGTGCCTGCCGGAGAGATCAAGATTTACGCGCTGGGGAGGTAGTTCTATCCTACGATTTAATTTTGCTCTTATTTACTTTGAAACGTTTATCCACAAGATTCTGAACCGGTTAAGGAGGGCAACTTTGTTCCGACGTATCTTCTATATTAGCCAGCGACGGTAACGTTCAGCAACGCTTTACTACTTGAGTTTTTCGATAACCGTTTTTGGCTAGATCGCATTTTTACATCCATTAAGGTTTTCTTCTCCCAAATGCTGCAAAAAATGCTCAATAAACTTAAGAATAATTTGAAAAATGAACTATTCATGTACATGACTTGTTTTGGTCAGTTGCGAACAATGGTTTTCAATCAATTGCAAACAATGCAAACGTACCTGCAGGTTTTCAAAACTTGATTTTTTCACCAGTGCTTTCTGAATTACACGAAGAAATGACTTAAACAGCAATAATTTACAAAGGTAACAAACAAGACAAACGAAAATCGAACGAAGAGAGTGTAGAACAAATTTTTATTGATCCTTTCACTCCATTTATTTTGTCTCAATCCTTACAATCCGATTCGAAATAATGATCTGACAAGACGAACTGGTTCAGGTCGGTATTAATCATAAGATAGGGTTTGAAAATTTACAACCAGATGGAAACGTTAAAAAACTAAAACGAAACGTCACAACAAAATAGAGCACACGGTCCATCCCATAATATGCGAACTAAACTCAGCACGGGTAGGGCAACAACTAAACATGACGTATTGCAATCAACAAGAACATACCAGACGTATAACATGCTTATTTGAAACGACATAGAAACGCTCTAGGAAAAATTATGATTAATCACTAATTTGCACGAAAACTTATTGAAAATGATAATGCAGCGCGGAGATTGTAAATCAAGAAACCGCTGTAAGACAGCTCTTCAGAGTTTTCTTCTTGGAAAATCGAAGTCAAGAAAACACATTTTAATCATTCATTTTCAATGTCACTTTGCATTAAACTTCAAGTTTAAGAAAGGGTTTGAATACCTTCTATCTATATAGTCAATCTCGTCTACGTACTAAATTGTTATTTAGAATAAGTGAACACCAACCCTAAGCAGAAAAAATACATTTCTCGAAATCTGACTATTCTAAAAGAAATATCGGTGAACCACATCTTCTCAAATAAGCGCCTGAGTGCTAATTGAAAAATTTCGGCTCAAATGAGGGGGGGGACACTTATTGGAAGGAGGAACCTCAATCGAAAGGGTGCTTATTAGGTTAGCGCGGTAATAGGACAGAAATCAAAATGATAGACATAAAGGAACCCTGCGAGAACCTGGAGATAGAAATAACTGGAACAGAGAATTAACTATTCTCCTCAACTGCATCAGCTGTAGTTGTAACTTAAAACGATATAGATATAGTGGCAATAAAAATAACTTTTCTTTGTATCCCTTCTATCATTAAGAAAGTGTGGAGGAATGTGGGGAGGGCTGTTTAAAATGATCAAAAAAGTTTTTGGCGCAAAGCTATGAACCAACCGTCGCACAAGCAAAGAAAGTGATCAACGCAAACCGTTGTTTCTTCAGAGTTGGAAACAGTTTGTTTACCAAACCGAGCGGGAGTTATACCAGCCCTTTCTTCAGTTTGACGAATCCTGTCGTTTTACTTTGAGGAACCTAGTTTCACGTTACTTTGAACTGGTACAGACGTGGAAGAGAGGTTCATAGAGACCTTTTGTAAGGAAATCATCAGTGATACACTCGGCTGTGCCTCGAATACCATGTATGACGTATTACTAAACATATACACGATGACTTGGAATCTATTGGTGAATCATATGATAACTTGTATGACACAAACATTTTGATTGGTTCTTACTCAGGATCTATTGGAGATCAGACGTATAGATGACGTCACGATCAGCATCATTTTGCTTTGTTAGATCATTTAAAGCAAACAGATTCCATATTGCCGTTGGTCTGTACAGTAATAGATCACACAAGACATAAAAATGTCGTAAGAATATCACTGAAATATTCGGCTGCCTCTACCAAACTGCGATGTTATCTAATAAATCCTTAAAGAGAAGCGCGGTAACTTGCAAACTATCAAACGACACACAACATGGATAGAGAACAACAAATGTATTGCCAAAGGTTACTATCAAAAAGATTTACACTAAAAAGGCTGGCAAGACATTACGTAAATAATTTAAAATCAAAGCTGAGGAAAGGTTTTGTACTAACAACTAAGAAGAAATTTATACAAGACCTGGTTTGCAGGTAGATGAAACGGAAAAAATTAAGGAAACCTTTTAGTACACCTGCTTCCTCTAATCAAGAAAGTGTGCATAGTTTTTTTCATTATTTCAATTTGTATTCCCTTAGTCCAAAAGTTACGTACTATTTATAAGTGTGCCGTGAGTCGATCTAATTCGACTATTCTATGCAGGACTCTCTTTACTACCTGAAGAGAATCTGGACTTATTCTAAGTGGTGCGGTTGCAAATTGCAAATGCCGCTTTTTAGCCATCTGGTGGTTTCTTAGAGCCCTGGAGGTAGTAGCCATATTAAACATTCCCAAGTCACTGCACCAGTATATATCCCATTGCTTTTAGGTTCTTATTGCCGTTATCACCTCCGTGCTTGGCTACATTTCCACACGCATTCGCTTTAATAGGCATCCCCCATGAACCAAATCCGAGTCTGGAGTCACAAGATGAGCACACTTGCTCATTGTTACCAACGATGCCGATTCGCGCTCGAGAACCTCCAGTGCTACTGCACTTGACATTAAATCCTTCCTTATTACAATTATGCTGTAGGGACGCTTGTGAACCAATCAGGGTCTTCCACTTGTTACGACCCACTGACAAATTTCGATATTTCCCGTCGCCAATCAATGAGTACAGAGAACTTGCACTCTTATTGATAAAAATGAATTTAGTCTGGTCACCAATTCTCATGCCGAGACAAATCTTGTTGAAGGGCGTGTTCCAGTAACTTGGTAACTTGGTCTGTTCTGAGTCAAACCCGGTCATTCCTCCTTGGGTCCTGTATTCCTCTGTATTCTCCCAGTAAGGGGACATGTACTCAAAAGTTTCCTGGGAGATAATATAAGATTAAGTCTTAAAAATGCAGCGGCCTACTTACACAGCTATGTTGTCTTTTTGCAGCATGAAGCCACCTAATTTCTCGTTACCCCTCCAGGATGGATGTCAGTCCATTATAGGCAGCCTCCTTTCCCCAGAAACTCGTCAGTTTCCCTGGAAGTTTGCTGATACCCCAGTTATATTACTTGTTAGTGGAGGGAGGCACTGTAGTGCTCCGCATTCAAAAATTGAAATGAGTGGGTTAGTCATAAAACCCCAATTTTTAGATGGTGAGCTCAGAGCGTAAACAGTGCTAAGCTAAAACGCTTCCCACAGTCTTCAGGAAAAAAAAGGAGGACAAATCTGAAACAGGAGAGAATCAAGAAACTAATAAACAAATAAACAAACCCTGCCTAGATGTTACATTCGTTATTTATTTGTTTCCATCAAGCATCTTGGGCTATATGGAAAGGTGTTTCGTGAAAGTAAATCCTGGAGAAAAGTCAAATCAGGCTATTGATTTTTTCAGTAACTCAATAATGCGCCAGTGAAGAAAAACTAACAAATGCCTGATGAGATGTTTCGAAACCTTGGAGGATAGTTAGTGCATGCCACCTAAAAATATGGCCGCAGGACCTAATCACTGGTCTTGGAAAACCGAAAACCGGGGAGAGTCAAATCCACGTGAAATGAATACCAAACTTGTGCGGTCAGGGAGAGTTTGTCTCGTGGTTTGATCTCCTAGACACTTTGCTTTTTCAGCCAAGAGCTTTTGAATGCTATTTTAAATCATACGTTACTCCCATTGATCTTCATGACAGGCGTCCACCCTCCATCTCCACATCCAAAATCTCCCATGTGGCAGAAGACAGAAAGTTGACGTGAACCAAAGCACAGAGATGCCACCTGACTCACTTTTGACCTGTAAATATACAGTTTTTATTGATTTCAGCTGAGAGATAACTTGTTTGTAGTACGTTTTAATTTTCTATCATATTGAAGCTTATTTCATCAAACATTAACCTCTTACTAACCGAGCGCAAGGGCCCTGCTTGGGAATGCTGGCTCGAGGTCGCTGCAGTACGGACTGAGCTCGGCAAGGTCCGTACAAAAACGCCCGGGGGCCAATTTTACCCAGTACAGATCAAGCAAGCAAGGTTAGTAGGTAATTTATGAAATGTCAGTTGGACCAAACTTGTTCATTTATTAGTAAAAGGCACTTCTGGTCACTTGAATTCAAGGGGCTTCCGCCGTGACATGTTTTGAACGACTCATAACTGAAGGTTTTCAACTTTAATTTAACTTGGAAGCCGAAAATTAGTCATAAAAACCACTAGATCATTCTCAGAGGTGCGACTAGACTCAACTGGATAGGTCCCGCTGAATTTACCCGCCTCAAAAAATAGATCCATTCTTCGATTTGGTAAATCGCCTAGACGCCTCTAGCTTGTGCTCCGATGATGATACATGTGCTATTCTAGATTTTTTTCCAAACTCATTGTCCTAGGATAGTTTTAATGAATATTTCTTCTTGTTTGAGTATCGCTGTCTACTTTGCAGAAAACTGGGAACTGTTGCCTGTTCGTATGTTCCTAAATAAAATTCTGACTAAAGGTGCTCAAGGTTGAATGCAGCTGGGCTTTTGATTCTTAGTCTTTTCATTTCATTTGTATTTATGTAGCGAGCAAGAGTGCTCATATCACAAAACCATCCTATTGCTTGTGTTGAAGCCTTAAATTTGTTTACAAAATCGTAATTAGTTTCCTGGTATTCACCAATGCTTGTTTCAAAGGTTTTCAGATCATGATAAAAAACGGCTTGCTCGGTGAATGATCTTATTCTCGTTCATCGTCTATAGTTCTATTCAGTCGTTTCGTGACTTGTCTAGTAATTTCTTTACAAAGAATGAGAACATTTACGGATCTCCTTTTCGCAGTTTAGTTGCAAGTTTTAAATTTGCCGGTTTTCGAGGGTGAAGATATAAGGTTTATGACCATTTCCGTGGAAACGGTCCGTGTGGCAAAACCCGACTGATTAAGAGCCAACCAGAAGGCCCGAATGGATATAATACTCGCAAAGTCAAAGTTGCACCGAATTTCAATTTTAGGTACTTTTGTTTGAACTGTTAAGAAAAAAATTAAAGGGGTGCAAGATTAAAATATCACACTGCCTGACCGCCAGAGCTAAATTTGTGAAAAGAGACTAGCACAGCGTTAGCGCTGTCCTCTCACCTTTGAGCATCATACACTTCCTTGCATGATTGTAAAGCTGAAAAAGAAGGAATGAATCGAAAGGGTCACAAAATTCGTCTCATCGTATTATCTTTTACGAAAAATCTAACTGAGGAGGATAAAATAAATGCAAAAAGAAAATTGTAAGAACTGTTATTTCATCCATCTAATTCCGACGCAAAAGCAAACTTCCGTAATATTCCTTTTTCACCTTCACTACCTTTTTCGCAATATTTTCCAACGAATCCTATGTGGCAGAGGCATTTGAAGGCATCCCCACCATGGCCCCCTTGACATGTTCCTCCGTTTTGGCAAGGCGCAGTAGAACAAGGCAACTGGAACTGAATTAAGACAGCAATTTAGAAAATGGCTGCATGAAGATGTAAAACACACAAAAGGGCGCAGAAGAATTGGAACGTGGCAAGTAAGAAGTACGGTTATCTAAACAATGGCTGCCAAAATGCATAGAATAAAACTGTTTATCCATGATTCCAAGGGAAGATCACAAGCCTTAGCATCTCTAAGCCAAACTTAAGACAAAATAAATTTAAAGGCAGTACTCCACAGTCAAGAAATGAATTCTGCTCTATCCTACCGAGAAGTGATGCGAACTCCTGTTTGCAACGTACTGGTTCGCATTTTGGTGTTTATCAGAAGAAAGTAACTCGCACCAAAGCTTTCCATCAGCTCCTCTAAGGGAAGCTAGATTTATAGAAAGGCACAAAGGGTTGCTGAGGCATTCAAATGTGCAGTCAAAAAGGTCGTACACGGCAAAAGTTCCAAGTTTAGGCACATTTAAATAATAGAGTTCTTCTTTTTTCAATAGTCCCATATGAAATATTCGAGGTGCTCTGGTCTGCAAAAGGCAGAATAAAATTTTCTAAATTGCTGTCTTAATTCAGTTCCAGTTGCCTTGTTCTACTGCGCCTTGCAAAACCCAAACGAATTCGTTACCGATCCAAATTATTTTGGGATGCGAGCGTTAGCATGGCCTTCGTCATGGCGAAAGGAAACTATTAAAAAAAATCCAACATTGCTTTAATGGATTCTATATCTTTTGCAACATTGCGAAGTATTTTCTGCCAACCTACCTTGAACTGTAGCCAAATTGCCGTAAATGAAAACCTGCCAAAGGGTAAATGCCTCCAACAAGACAAACGCCGGGTATCTACATCGTTTCATAATGGAACATTCGTCGATTTGTCGAGGAAACCTTGTTAAAATTATCGCAGTTGTTTCTTATTTCTTTTCCTCGTTGGCTTTACTGGTTAATTACTTTAAATCCCTACGCATTAACTGTTGTTTTAAGTCACAAAGCTGCTTCTCTAAACTGGTGGCCACATCATTTCTCCGATTAAGAGCTTTTGGATCCTCAATGATAGACATGAATTATTTATTTAAAAACTGGTGCTTTGATAATAATCTATTCTTTGTGGAAATAATACATATTTTTAGCGTGAAAATGTACTTAGCTTTATTGCATTGGAAGCTGGCTCTTTTTTATGCGGCTGAGGGCATAGCTCAATGTAATTGTGTTTTACGCAACGAATTAGTATAGAGAATTAAAAAAGCTATGAACTATATGTACTCTAACGTTGAATTTAGAATACCAATAGCCAAAGAACCCGTCTGTAACGAATAAATCGAATTAAAATTTCTATTTTTTTGTTTTTGTCTTTTCATGGTTGCACGAAAAAGGAATTTGCATGCCACGGAGACTTCCCTTTGCATTTCTCTGATTTGCAAATACGTTCTACCTCTTCGAAATCTATGCCAAAGTGAGGTGCAAATACATAAGAGACAGTCTTAACGGGCTTTGAATGGTACGAGTTTTGTAAGAAGATGAAATAACTTGTAAAGGAACCCTTTAGTATTTCTCGATAATAATAAAAGGTTGAATCTTGATTGATGATAAAAATGAAAGTTAACATTCGAAAACTTGAAATCGCTGCTTTAATGATGTATTCTGAAGTAACATGAAGGGCAGCTGAATTGATGATAGTGAATTTGGTCGCGAGTTATCACCTTACATTCAATATCAATGCTATATTTTCAGTTACCAAAGACAATCAATCCTTTTTGCCTAATTTCATGTCACAGAGAGTATATAGGTTTGGCTGTCAGTTCTGTGGCCCCAAATAAATGTTATGAAAGGATGCATACATCTACAAGATTAACCATGTCAACAACTTTTATTTGTTCAGCTTAACTTTAAGCTAACCTGCTACCTGGCTTATATTTAAATTTCATTTTGTTTTTGCCTGAAGCGCTTGGAACAAAATTACAGAAATGTTATGACAGAATATTACATTTAGCATATCGGCTGTTTGTCGCATTTGGATTGCATCGTATCGTGTCACAAAAGTTTCGTTAATGCTGTTGCCTTCATCAATGGCCCGGAAGATCGCGTATTCAACGATGCACACTGCTACTGAACTTTATATTTTGTTCGTGTTTTTCACTTTGAGAGCGAACCTCAGCTGCTCCTCAGGTCAGAGATAATTGCAGTAGCTTATTAACAAGGGAAGCTAAAGACGACGATCACGGTACTCTTTGAACTGTGAGATAGCCCCTCACAATGATAAAGCTTTCTATCGTATCCCTGATAGAATTTAGAGCAAAAGAAAGACGAAACTTCAAATCATAACCAGGCAAAAAATAAACAGGCAGAAATTGACATCCGCGAACCTTTTTTGAGGCGTGAGGCGTGTGCTAATGATCATTTGTTGTATTACAAACTCACAATATTCTCAATAAGCTTTTACGTTCTAGCTGTAACCTTTTTGAGCTCTTGATTTGAAAGGAGTTTTTTTTTTACATGGTATAGAATTGATGTTTGCTTTATGTTGTCATCCCCTTAGGAGAGAACAATTTGCAGGATAGTTTTAATGGACGGCTGTTTTCAAAAACCGAGTACCGCTATTTGGATGTTCCACATTTTGCAGCAACGAGGGTACACGACGAACTTGAGTGCGTCTTTCGATGCCTCAGAAGCCACAGATGTCTTTCAGCAAACATGGCTACCTCTAAAGAAGCAGATGAACAGTTTTGGTGCGAGTTGCTGTCGTCTGGAAAAGGCAGAAATGTTATGGAGTTCAAAGAAAACAAGAGTTCGCATCACTTTTCAATTATGGTAAGGTTGCTCGCCTCATATCTCAAAACAAATGAATTTTTACGGCCAACATGCCCTGGATGGTTCAATATCGCCCTATCTGTATGTGTTTTGATGAGAAAGGTGTTTTATTGTGAATTGAGTGGCACATGTATGTTTTTATACCGTGTTTAAGGCAGCAATGTAGTTTTAAGAATAAAGAAAATGGAAATAACACATCGTTTTGATAATATCTCGTTAGCATAGACCAAAATAAACGGATAAAAATGATGTTCCAAATAGTTTCATGTCAAACCATCGGGCAAAGCATTTTTCAATCAATTCATTCAATTTGTTATCCGGAAACGCTGTGTGACTGTGCTACATTTTTGGATATTATGTCGAACCTTTTTAATTTCCATACAGTCAAGCTTAATAAGTATTTTTTAATTTCAGTCGACTTGTCCATCCTCGAGGTGTCATAACAGAGGTACCTGCCTGATAACTGAGATTGGAAATGATGCGTTTGAATGTCTTTGCGAGGAAGGTTTTATAGGAAAGAATTGCAGCATAGGTGAGTTTTGTACCTTTGCGCCAGAGTTCTCTATCTTGTCATCCTTCTAGTAGAATAAATTTCTAGTCCTAAACGGTGATAGCGTATTCAAGCCGCATTCTTAAAAGTAACAGAAGCTGTTTTTTTTTTTATTATTATTTTAGCACAAGTCTTAATTTAAGGAGAGGTATAGTAAAGTCGCCAGAACTTGGTAATTTTGATCTCTGTCATTGAAATGTTTAATTTGAATACGAATTTACTTCTTAACGCTTTATGTGATCCCTAAGAATAACTTAACTATTCCAAATTGGGCTAAACCTTAAAATTGAGTGGTTTCTGTGGACGCTTCACCTTTGACAATCTCCTTTGAAATCTTTTTAATCAGAGTGCCAGTTTTGCGTTGTCACAGGCACAGTCGCTGCATGTGTTATACGCATTTTGTATTGCCTTTTGGAAAAGCCTTTGGTAAGGTAACTAAATTATGTATAACAACTATTTGTTGCAACCATTTGTTTGTGATTGTATTTTTTTTCTTTTTGTACTTTTCTTTCAGCTGCAAAGTCATGCAAAGAGCTCGGAACAGCTTACAAGTGAGTTTTATTCTAAACGGTCTCTTCTTGCCGGACCTAAATTTTCTGAAACATACTTTACATTTAATTTCTATATATGTATATGACTTTTTAGAAATAATTTCAGCCTAATCCGGTATATCATTTTGTGATTGGATCCCACTGATGGTTTTTCTCTTAAAATACCAACAGTACCGTCCAAGCCAATTGCAAATACTTTTCTCCTCGACCCTTTTTGATTTTCATACAAACATACTCGGCAACCAGCGTTGTTGGATGAAGTCAAATGATAAATCCCTAGCCAGAGGCAACAGTGTTAGAAAGCAAAGGTAGTCCTGGAATTATTAACGTAAAAAGTGAAATATAAAATACAAGTGAAACAAGCCCCTTTTGACCAAGTCCGTTGGCATTATTTTACTATTTTAATTTGTCTCCATGTAGTTCAAACTTGAATCGAGTGGTCACACTCCACTTTGACTCCAAAGCGACCCCCATTTTCTGTCACTTTGGAGATTTTGGGTGCGGAGATGGAGTATGGACACCAGTCATGAAGATTGACGGCAGTAAGGTAGATAGGGTACCACTATTCAAGATTACATTCACGTTTTCCAGCATGTATAAAATAAGTGAGACATCTCATTGCAGAAATAATATTTACAGAAATTTCGCAACTGAAGAGCTGTTCAAATGAAACACATCCAAACTATCGATGACAGGAAACTGAAATCTCCTTGTTCACTTTAGTTATAGCCCCTTCGAGTTATTTGCGATTTACGAGTTGGACCTGGATTGGGATCCTTTAGAATTTTTTTGCCAATTATTTTTAACAATCTGTACTTCTTGATATTCGAGGCAGCTCGAACGGTCCACACAAAAGTATTGTTGGAATGCATCTTGGCTCAAAAGCAAACGAAAATAAAAGTTATTTGAAAATAAATATCAGTTTTGGCATTGAACACCAGTCGTGAAGCTGGAACCACCTTCTCGGTGACCCTATGTAGAACCCTTAAGTCCTATTTACAAAAGATAGTGACACAAACAGCTTTCTGATGTCTTTCCTCTATTGCAGTGCTATCATATTAAAATGAACTCTAACTGGGTGTATTAGCCTCAATGCGAATTAGGAGTGTCCTAGCTTGCCACTTGGAATATTATTTGCAGGAGTTACCAAATTTATTTAAGACAACTTTCATACCATTTTAGAGCACATTTCACTACAGCTCGAGTTACTGGTCGGATAAAATTACATACAACGTCCAGGGAGGAAAGACTGCTTTTGATTCACACGAGACCAAGCTACCAACATACTGGAACACACCCTTTTCAAAGATCTGTCTTGGTATGAAGATTGGGCAGCAGATAAACTTTATTACCATCGAGAGGCAGGCTAGCTCCTTATATTCACTGATCGCTGACGGGCAATACCGCAACACATCATTGGGCCGTGAGAAGTGGAAATCGCTGATTGGTTCACAAGCCTCCTTACAATACTACTGCAACATCGAAGGCTTCAACCCTGTTTGTAGTTGGAGTTCAGCTTCCAAAGCTAGAATTGGTATCTTGAGTAACAATGAAGATCTTTGCTCCAGTTGTGATGCCAGAATCGGCTTTGGTACTGGGGGAAAACCGGATGACTCGAACACATGCGGAAACTCCGCAGTGTACCTTACAGATAACGGAGATAAACAAATCAAAGCCATAGGATACATCTTGGTCCAGTGACACGTATCCATCGAAAAGCACCGCTTATTGCGTTGTAAATGTTTTTGAAATACAATATATACAAAATGTAAAGGGAATCTTACCCAGTAGACTAGCAACTCAGCCATCTAAACCACGTCAAGTCAATAGAGATTTATCATTACATACTCATCTCACTTCCATTACCGTTCAATCACATGTTCTATCAAAGCAGGAGACAGATGGAGACACCCAAGCAGGCTCTTGACGTCTTCAATTGTCTCCATTCAGAATCGGAGTTTGGAGTGTTGACATTTTCGGAAGGAAAAAACTGGAGAAAATCGAGTAAAAGGTAACCAACCAACAAACAGACAATCAAAAACAAAAACAAAAGTCAGAGTCCCTTGAGCAACCAATATTTCGCACGTACGCTAAGCATGAAAGAATCCTCAATCCTTTATTTTGCAAAGGTGACCTATTTAACATTTTAAAAGTGTCTAGTCCAGCTAAAAGAATATAAAATTTTGTCAGTAATTTCGATAGCCAGGCTTCTTGGTCACTGGGTATTTGACACTATAGACCACCAGAAAGTAGTTTTTTTAATAGTAGTCAGCTTAATTGCACCTTTAAGTCTTAAAAATCGTAGTTTGAATCCGCCTCATTAAGCTTTGCCCTTCGTAAAACCCATGATTGATATCTTTCAATATTAATGTGACTTCTAAAAAAGCATTTATGCAAATTTACCCTGAATTCAAGCGACTCATCTTTCCATCTGCCTAGTGAGTGTTAAAAACATAAAGTGACGAAGTCTATTTGTGAGTGAATACAAATGTGTGTTTTGGAGTTGTCAGTCCACTTGTTTGTTTTCTGCAATGGTGTGTGTAAATCTTGTCTTTCTTCCATCGAAAAGCTGAAGTCAATGAGACTCAGGCTCTTTCCAGCTAAACACTAGGGGATTCAATGCTACTTTTATTCATCGAATTCTACCGGTTTCTGTTACGAATTTTACGGTAGAATGTCCAAATTCAAGGGACTTGCAAAGAATAGGCGAAAGTGTATTTATAGGCTAGAAGAACTTAGAACTTCGCTCAACGTTTCACAAACGACCTAATTGTGCTGAAAAATTCGGGTATTAATGAGAGTCACATTGATTAACGTAATTGTTAAGTGCAATTAACTCTCGTTTTAACTTTTTGAATTCCTTTTTGTGAAGGATTAAGTAATAACAAATTGCTTGTAGGCCGCTTTTCAATCTTTTTGAAAAGAAACATTCAGTACCATAAAATTTATTTCGAAATCAATTTTTGCCGAAAAAACCAAGTGAAAGTGTCGATCAAGACAAGGGAAGTTTTGTAGATATCAACACAATGAATATAGCGCCTACTAAAAACAAAATCAAAGGATAAAGGAAATAAAATTGCAGTTTTCTAACTTCATGTTTAACTAATCTTCTTTTGTCAATATTGCCTTTACGATAAAAACTTTTGTTTTATCAAGGGCGACTCATATCGCATTGTCATTTTCAAAATCAACTGGTTGGGTAATGTTGAGTGAACAACAAAAGTTTTTCCTTAAACTCTGCACGTTTTGGACGTCAAAAACTTCGTCATTCCTACTAAGAATCATCTCATAAGGAAATTTATAAAATGTTTTATTTGCTTCCCACGCTTCTTTCTCTTTTTTTTTTTTCATCTAATTTGAACGGCCCCCCATAACTAACCAGCTGAAGATGTTTTAACGTATTCGTTAGCGATGCAAATGACGTTGAATGACAGTGTTGATTTCAAGCTTTATTTTGAAACTTTCATCTTTTCTTTGACTAGAAAAAAGATCGTGACATTTCATTTTATTTCAATTTTACACACTGTTAATTGATGAAAATATTTGACAGAGTAGTTTGAAATGCAGCTCTACAAGAGCTGACAACTATATTCGCAAATTATCGTGCTTCACCCTTCTTAAAATTCACTGTTATCATTTTTTTTCATGGATATCATTAATATTGCATGTAAAAGACCAAGAGAGTCATGTTTCAAAGTGACCTTTACTTCACTTGTCTTACCTGTATTAGCAAACTGTATATCGTTTTTTATTTCTTTTATTTTCATTTATTTAAAAACATTTTTTGCAAGAAGAGTAATTTTGCTCGATTTGCAATTACTCGTAGTTACATGTACGTGGTGAGTCAAAATCAAACAGTTTACCTGTTAAAACGTTACTTTCTTGAATAGTCATTATGTTTTTTGCCCTCAGCTCACGTACCAACTATACAACAATACAGACACCAGCACAGCTACATTGTATTCTGACACATTACATTGTAAGCACTTGGGTTTCCTGTGAAAAAAGACAAAAATAAGAAGACTGGCGCCAATTTCCAGAGCGAAACTTGAGCCCGATCATGCGCGAACCCAAGAAGTATTGCGCCTTCTTTGTATTTTTCATTTTAACATCGAGCGTAAGCTGTTTATCAGGTTAGAAACCTCTTTATATTTGTTCCCAATTTAAACCATATCATAGTGGCAGAAGTGAACCTCGTTGCATAAGATATACAAAATAGAACGAAACTTTAGTTGAAAAATTCATTATTTTTTCTATTCTGAGTTGAGCATCGCCTAACGAGGAAGCCCCACCGTCACAAGTAGCCATGCCAGCCGACAAGACCAGAATTGATTCAACTTCACTTACTTTATTTTACGTCATCGATTGCAGAAAATTTCAAAAGCCAAATAATCAAGGATTTTCTTACATTGCATCTCATTCCCTTTTCCTTTTTCCTTTACAAAAAGGCAAGACTGTCTTTAAGAAATTCAGACAGCGCATATTTTTAAAAACCGAGCGCTACTACCTTAATGTTCCTCAAGTTGGTTTATCCAACATGGTGGATGAATTGGAGTGTACTTTCTTATGTCTCAAGAGCCCTTTGTACCTTTCCATAAACATGGCCGCCACCAAAGGAGCAGATGGAAAGCTTTGGTGTGAGTTGCTGTCTTCTGATAAGTACAGAAACGCTGAAGACTTCAAAATAAACAAGAGCTTGCATCATTACTCCGTCGTGGTGAGGATCGTTTTATTTGTAGTCGCACCGACACATCTCCGTTTCTGCGCTTCTGCAAGGAGAAATAATCAAATGAGCAAATTTAAGCCATTAAATTTCCGAAAGCGCCATTTAGGTTTTTCACATGTCTGTCCATAAAACTGGTCGTTTGCTTCCATTTAAGTAAAACTGTATCAGTTTAAGGTTTTTGATGACATTGTGGCCACGATTATTGTTCAATTTTCCTCTTTTGTTAGCCGTCTATGTTCAGGGAGACTTAAAGCAGTTTTTGACAGAAATTTGAGTTATTTAAGAATCGTGACGATAATAATAAAATCCACTTCTGAAGCATTTCAACCAGATCAAACAAGGACTTAATAGTACAGCTTTTGTCTAAGTGAAAACAAAGAAAACCGTTTTCTCAGCTGAGTATATTTAGAACATATTTGGACACCAGTCACATAAGTCATTCAGATGTTTTATTTTTAATTATTTTTTCATTATTTATTTGTATTTTAATTAATCAATTTTTCTATACCTTGAAATCCAAGATCGCTTAGACGATTCCACCAAGGTTGAACTCGAAAGCATTGCCAGAGCACTCTTAAATTTTCCAGCTGACGATAAGAAATGAGAAACTTTTCTATCTTTTCAATGGGGCCACTAATGAACTACACATAAATTCTGAATTTCTAATTTTTTACTGAAGTCTTTTTACTTAATAATGCGTCTGTTTTCTCATTTTTTTCAGTCACAATGTTCGTCTTATCCGTCAAAATTATGCGTTTCACTGTGTCTGTAAGAAAGGTTTCAGTGGTAAATATTACGAAACAGGTAAAAATGAAGATAGATCACTGCATTTAACCATTTCCTGTTCATTTGGCCTTTTTAATTAAAATTCTGTCAAGTTCATCGACGAAAGAGAATGCAAAGGAGCACAAATAAAGAAAAATATCCAAATCTCTTACTGGGGGTTAGCGAACAAATATTTTTCTCTATTTGAAACACAGCAACTGAGTTAGGTACAGGTTTTGAGCGGATGCCTGGTATAAGCAGATACTAGTCCAATTTCTATGTTATCCATTGTATTCTTTCTATCTCTTATTTTATTTTCCTTTTTTTTTTCTAAAATGGACTAGTACACCTTAATCAGATAGAAGCGGACACTTGATATAACTGATCTTGTTATAAAGATCCTGTATTTAGTGGGCAGCTCTTCCCGTTTGAAGGATTTGCGATTCACTGTACAGCAATCAAAGTTTAAGACTACAGGGCCTACTTTCAAAAATATCGTTTTACAAAAAGCATCTCTCTTCCTTTCAAACTGCTAAACCAAAGTTACATGCATCTGGTATCATATGGCGTAATTTTAAGGCATATTCAGAGTTCAGAAAAGAAAATATTGGAGGGTCGGACTTGTTTAATCGTTACAACTGACTGTCTTTTCCAGCTGTAATGTCTTGCAAGGATCTAAGCTCCACATTAAAGTAAGTAACTGCCTACTGAGTTTGTTTGGCTGCTATTGAGTCCTCTGGCATATTTTTTCCTCTTATCTATTAGGACAAGATGGTTAGACGATAATTGAAGAATACTGTGAACTCTGCATGCAATTTCATTCCTTTTTTCTAGAACTAAGTGCCATGTACTTTTGTAGCCACAATTCTATGAGGTCGTCAGACTTAACCTTTTACAGCTGTAACATTGTTTCCTTTGCCAGACCACGTTTCATTATTCTTCCGGTTACTGGACTGATCTAATACAAGAATCGGCATTCTAGGAAACTTTGACAATGACTGCAATAGTAGCGATTTCAGAATCGGATTTGGTACAGGTGGAAGTCTAGATGACCACGAAACTTGCGGAAACGAAGCTGCACTTGATGCAGATAATGGAGTACAACGCATTGCAGCCATGGGATACATCTTGTTGCAATAAATTGAACTTTGGAAAGTTGATAACAGAAAAAATAAGCATAACCTTAATTTCTCACAAACTTCACTGCAGAGAGCTTCTCTCGATGAGGAATTCGATATAAAATCGACACCTTCACTTTTTGCCCTAGCAACGGGCCCAACTCTATCATACCGAACGTGGCATCTGTCACACATGACAATCCTTTCTTATTTTTTTGGTACCGTTTTCTGATCTCGAACTCCATTGTCGATTTCAGATACTAGTGTCACATTTTGAACACCATCGTCCAATGTTCATGGTATCTAACCGGTTTTAGAAACTATTAAACACTTTTGTTCGATTTCATACATTTTTATTCGATTTTGGACTCTAATCTGCGATTTTAAATGATATAATAATATAATAAATGATATACCTATTGTATTGTCCATTTTCTGACACTAGTGTCACATTTCAATCAGTATTGTTCCATTTTCGTCCGATTCAAGACAGGTCATTTATTTTCCTGATTACCAGCTTATGGATTACATCATCGTTTAAATTTAAAGAGATATTATTTAAAAAAAAAAAAAGAACGAAAACGGACTAAGAGAAAAGGAAAACTTCGTGCTTTCGTTCACAGAAACAGGACATTTCGCTTTCCTCTTAATTTTTGGTCAATCACATGGCTTGCTTATCTATCAATTTAGCCTTTTATTCCCGTGGAGAGGATGTCAGCGCAGCGTCAGTCATAGGACATCGGCAATATCATCTCCGGCTCTTGACCAAACAATCCTTCTAACGATAAAGCTATGCCATTTGTTTGGACTACCTTTGACTGTTGAAGGTGAGATTTGTAAGCCTACTCAGAGCAAGATAAAGGAAAAATTATTTCCCTCAGAAAATCTTGGTAAAAATTGTCTTTACTGTTAAAAATATGTAGCAAACGAACAAGACATTAGGGTTGAAAAGGATACATTGCTTTCCCGTCAAAATTTACCGAATTGTTTTCCTTCATGTTTAATCATTTTTATTTTTGATGGAGGTGGTGTTTACAGCAGACTCTACCCACGATAAAAAGCATTTTTCTTTATCGCATTACCGCGCCTCAACTTTACCATCTCTCTCATTCTATTAACTCACATTAAGCAAACGGCATTCCATATTCTCGTCGTATGCAAGCCAAGTGAAAATGGTAACTGCTCACCGCAGTTCTCTGTATCCTGGTAGCAGAGCATCGAGGCGCGGAATTCGAAGTTCTTTGATTCGACTCTTCGCAGAGAATCATGATCTTTTCATTTTTCCTTACTGGAGAAAAAACAATAAACATTGCTCGCTTTAGTTCTCCTTTGCATCACTGTTATCTTGCGTCTTCTTGATGCAGATATAGGTGCATAACTGCAAACCAGCTGTTCGCCGAAATAAATTGATAACTCTTTTAAAAAAACATTTAGTATCACAAACACAATCGTCATGTTCACCGTGAGGGAATGGC